ATATGGAAGAGGGTGGAAAACAGTCTCAGCCGTGCAGATAACATGAGAGACTAAAGAAGAGGAGAGACAACATATGAGACCAGAGATCCAGGTCTCCTTGTATGAACTGAAATGAAATGAAACAACAACCCAATCCATGAATACTGAAGAGTTCTAGGCACTTTTCTTCGCTATTTTAGTGTAACCATTTGCATGTCCAAGGCAGAATAAATCTAATTCTTGGGATTAAAATAGGACTTTTTTTCTTTCTTTTTTTTCTTTTTCTTGTTTGCAAGTCTACAAATCATTCAGTTAAGTCAATTGACCAGCAATGGCTATTCCCTACAGTTTATCTGAGTGGAGAGGCTTAGTGCAAGATTAATTTCATGTTACTCCAGCAAGCTCACTGGAGGCAATCTGCTGGGCTCCCTCTGCAGTCCATGGAGAACATGAGGTTTAAAATATGTGTTTAATGATAAAGAAGTGGACTTATATCTACCTTTACACATTTATAGAAATAACACTGTTAACAGCAGGGATTAAACCCAATTTTAAACATATTTATATTTGCAAGTAAACTCTTCCTCTTACAGCTGCATGGTAGGTCTCTTGACTGATATTAGTGGTATCTCTGGTCACAGAACAGGTGCCCATACCTGTCTAATGCATAAACTGGCATTGGTAATGGGAAAATCAGAGCAGAATTTTCCCTCAGGTCACACTAAATTCCATGCCTGCACTAGACAGCTCATTACAAAATTTACCATGGTAGACATAACTAGAATACTTTTTTGAAACAAGAGTCAGTACAGAAAGTTTTGGTACAAAAGAATTATTTTATTATTGCTTTAAAAAATTGAGAACAAAGATAAATTCCAGTGTATTAAGTTGTCAGAGAACAACTTAATAATAACAAATAACAAACATTATTTCATGAAGTTCACATTTGTCATAATACTTAAATAGCAGGACTAGAAACAGTAATTAATTTTTTTCATCCATCTTCCTACACACGTAGAAATTATTAAAAATATAGTGAAGAAAAATTACAGGCTGGACTAGGGAAAAAAAAAAAAAAAAAAAAAAGCAACATTCTACTTTTCCTGAAGCTTTTATTGTTCTACTCGTAGAATTATTCTGGCAAACAGAAAGGGTCAGACCATGATCTTAGTGAATTCAATTGTAGAATTTTACTAATTTTGAGGTTTTCACATTAGTGTCAGGCAGCAGTTAAGGAGCCTGTCAGCTGGTCTCCTTATCTAGTCAGTGAAGGCAAAAAAAAACCCAAACAAACAAACACATATATATCTTTGACTGTTGCACTAGAGAAATTCAAAGCAGATTAAATGCAAGAGGTATGTAGCTGTAATGAAGTTTTAGAGATGAAACAGTCCTGGAAATAGCTACAAACATCTCTCAGGGTATATATGCTGTAGGGGGTAACACTGGATATCATCAACATCACTTATTGAAGGTGTGCTTAACCTACTAGTTGCTAACACCAAAAACTGTTAATGAAACTATTTTTGGGACAGTCCTTCACTCGTACTAGCAAAGGAAAGGTAAATTTGTTCAGAGAGTATGGAATGAACAAGTCAACCAATATATTCTGTTCTTATTTCATCAGCACATACTCAGAACGAACTGTAGTATTGGACCCGTATGTTGAATGTTCTCTGAAATGCTCAGATGTGAATCCTTGGAGATTTGAAAATGAACTGCTGACATTTGAATAATTTAATTTTTCTCAATCTGAATAATTTAACTTTGCTTCTTGGGAAAATCACAGTCCTAAACTAGAAATGTTCATGATTTTGTCACTGGGGTTTACTTACACAAATGTCACAGGTTTGACACAACAGTGCTGTGTTTTAATTAAATCAGTGTCATAAGCTTTTTCAGGAACAGGATGAAATTCACCCAAAGACTAAGGTAGTAACTGTCCATATTAAAGTAAAACAAATCTAAATGTATATAATCAAACTGATAGCTGGTGAAAAACTGTATCAACTGAGCTGAGGTAAAAATAGCCACTGAACTGAAATTATGTATATAGTCTAAAAGACAGTGGAAAACTGGGTCAGATATTTGGCTGCTTTAGTCCATAGGAAACATTTGTGATCCCTTCCAAAAGGCATTTTTCCTGCTGAAATGTTACAGTAATGTAAGAAGACATTGAGAATGCTGTAGTACTGGTGTTTATAAAGATAGATAATAGGAATTTGAACACTGTAGCACTTTTCTTTTGTGAATGTTCCAGTGCTCATAACGATGCAACTGCCTTCTCACAAAATGGGTTGATGACATGGAAATAAAGCAGAGAGACACTAAGAAAGGTTATAGGGGGCATTTTCGTATACTGGTTTACTGAAGTGCAAACTGTAGTTTAAAGTGCTGGGATAATGTCTGTAGACAAAAGGAGTTATTGAAGTTACACTTGAACTCATACGCCATAGTGCACATAGTCAAAATATAGTGACTGAGTGAACCATTTTACTTCTTAGGAAATCAGTGGTTGACTGCATTTCTCTCTAATTACCCCTGGCTCAGGATTAGCAGGGTTTTATTATTACAAAAACTGTTTAAATTTGTCCAGACATTATTGCTACATTGCTCAGCAGTTGATACATCTCTTGCTGGTGAAGATGCATGAATTTGCAAAATGATTCTGAGAAGTACTTGGTAGCTTGCATTAGATTAGAAAAGCATTGCACAAACCAGCCTGATTCTAAGGGGGAGCAGATGGAGATGTGGGGTGCAAGTAGTTTAAAAAAACCCTTCCATCTCCCCTGGAATCTTATCTGCTCAACAACTTCTCAGCCATCTGCTATCCAGCTCTCAGCATTTCTTAGCACAGAAGGTTTGTGGGGTGCAAAACCAGAAAGACCTTTACAAACTCTCTACATTAGAGAGATGTGAACCTTTTGGACCAGGTCCAGAGGATGGTTATGCAACTGGTCAGAGGGATGGAGTACCTCTCCTATGAGGAAAGGCTGAGAGAGCTGGAGTTGTTCAGCCTGGAGGAGAGGAGGTTCCAGGGAGACCTGTTAGCAGCCTTTCAGTATCTAAGGGGGGGCTTATAAGAAAAATGGGGACAGACTTTTTAGTAGTGCCTGTTGTGATATCACATGGGGTAATGGTTTTAAACTAAGAGAGGGTAGATTCAGACTAGATACAAGGAAGAAATTTTGTACCAGGAAGGTGGTGAGACACTGGAACAGGTTGCCCAGGGAAGTGGTAGATGCCCCATCCCTGGAAATATTTAAGGTCAGATTGGATGGGGCTTTGAGCAATCTGAAGCAGTGGAAGATGTCCCCAGTTGTTTCAGGGGGATTGGATCAGGTAATGTTTAAAGGTCTCTTCCAACACAAACTATTCCATGATTCTATGGTTAAAAATCATAAAGTGCAAAGGCAGGAAGTGTTGCATGTAGGCACCTACATGCTCTTGATGAGGGGCAAGGCTAGTCATGTTCTGGCTGTTTGAAAAGCATAAGGCAGGCAGGAATTTGATAACAAGGAATGACTATAGAGAAATTTATTTTTGGTGCAGTTAGTGGAGAAAGCCCAGGTGAGGACACAATCTATCTAACCTGAACTGAACCAGCGTGGGTTTTAGCACTAGAGCCTCATAATTTCAGGGATGATTTAAAAGTTACTAAAAAACATCAGCAGTTGATGTTTGTTCATGGTTATCTTTACCTTAAGCTTCATTGGCTAAAATGAGCATTTACCCATCCACATGCACACACTACATTTAGGAGTCTTAACCCCCAGCTGAATTCCACTTGTGTATCAGGAACTGTCGAACAAGAGGTTGATAGCTCCTCCAGAGAAAGATACCAGACCTAATATGTTGAGATTTGGCCTTTTGTCATCTTTTCTCAAGACAGATTTTTTTCCTACCACATAGTTATAGAACAGTTGTGGCACAAGTACAACTCTGGTATGACTAACAGAGACAGACAGACACTGAGCTAAACTTGATCCCACAGCTGAGGCAACTGGATGTCTGCACAATCCTATTTATGACCTATTGGCACAATCCTGCTACAATGCCTGATTTAATACACATGAAACTGCGACCCTCAGGCTCCATATTCCTTAGGGATATTCTCATACAGTGTCCAGCACAAATGGGGTCACAGGCTGATTTTGGGAAGCTGAACTCCAAATCATGTAATTATTCTTCATGACCACTATGATTCAGGGCACTCAAATTCAGTTTAACCATCCTATCTCCCAGGCTAACTTACTCCAAGAGAAGCTTCCTTTCTAATGTGTTTCTCACAAATTATTCATCCTTCCTTGCACCAAGACACTGCACACATTTTAGGGCAGTGGGATGAGGGACACTAAGAATATTAAAAGATAGTATCTTTTGTTTTTAGGAGTCTGTAGACCCTTTTTCTTCCCATTGTGTTTTAGCTATTAAAAGTTGGCAGTTCAAGAAAAACAACTTTGGAAAAATACTTTTAATCACAAAGTTTATTTACTTAGTAAAGTTATATTACAATATGTACAGTTTCTATTTACATATACACCTTTCTAAGAAATGAAGCACCATATAATACAGTTAGTATTTTAGAGGAATTTACAGATATATTATTTTTGCATCCAAATAGTTATATCTACAGAAACATATTAATTAGAACCAAATTCTGATAAGACACTGACTTTAGCTGGTTTTGGATGAGATTGCTATTGAAGTTACCAAAGAGAAATTTAACTGCTGTCAGCTATCAACCTGTGCTTCAGGATAAGGGACCTTAGCTATGTCATTTCAGAGGCCACCTGAAAACTTAATCCTCAAAGAAAGTCAGAGATGTTGACAGAAGGTATTTTATAAGTCACAAGAATGCAACAATTTTAACAGTAAGATTTTTACTGTCATCAAAAAACAGAGTTTCATTAAAAAGGAAAAGAACATTGCTTAAGTGTTTATATGCATGATGCAGAAAGAAATTGAGAATCTGGAAGCTTCTGTGATACAGTATCACATGTTCCACAAGGAACACATTGACTCTTAGAGAGCCCAGCTACTGCAACTTGAGGCATGATCCCCTTAACCCAAGGAGAAAGTCGAGCTGTCTGCCTTGTGATCTTTATGTCACCATCAAGAAAAAAAAGAAGGCTCTGTCCAGGGTACAAAATTTCCTTCAAGTGAATTAAAGACATTTGGAGGGGGGAAAGGTAAAATGAGGTATTTAATAAACTACAGGAAAAAAGAAAGCACCTAGTTTGAAAGACCGTGTTGAAAAAATGTTCTAGTTATTTTATATACGCAATTGTTACATTCACCTAATTGTGAGTCAAGTTTTGCATAAACTATTTATACTTTCTATGCCTTCTAATTTGTGCTTTTCATATTTTTACTTCGCTAGATGACAGATCTGATGGCTGGAAGAAAACAATGTTACTCTGAGGACAGTTGTTATGACAGACACAGGTGTTGATCAACATCACTGGCTTTTTTAGGACTTTGCCCTGAGGACAGCGGAACTCCACTTGAATGGTTTTGGTGTTGTGTGGGGTACAGCATCGCCCGTCGTTGCAGAGGCCACAGTAACGTGGTTTGTACGCCTGCACACTCGTGCAGTTCTTGTACTCAAAGCGAACAGCTTTCGCAGACTTCTTCGTTCGGACACATTTCTTCCCTTTCTAAGAAAAATAAGAAAAGACATCACTGCATAAGACAGACATCAATCAAAAATTGGCATGCAAGGATATAGGTCTACTCTGAAAACTTAAATTTATTGTCTTTATTCACGCAACAGCAAGAAGCATCTGTAGCCACTTCCCTAACCACTTACAAGTAACAACTGCAGGATCTGCCTTTTGACAACAGTGTTACTGGGCCCGTAATGAATGACAAATTAATTAAAGACCAGACTTGTCTTCTGAAACAAGTCAACATTCATTATGAAACTATACTCTACCGGAAAACTTCTCAAGCTAGTGTAGTTCCATCAGAGAATTCAGAAGCTAAACAAGCAAGTTACAGGACTAGATTCAGGGGAAAAACAGAGGTAAAATGAATTGCAGAAGTCGTAGTCCATTCCTGTGACCCAAGGCAGCTTTAACCATGTCTTTCTTAATAGGTGATGGTCTAACTTGTCCTTGGAAATCTTGAGTGACAGAGACTGTATATATCCCCAGACAACCCTAACAGTTCACTATTCTTACTGTCTCGAAGGTTTTCATTCATGTCTTAATTTTAATGAAGTCTAAACTCACCATTTCTTCTTGTACCCCCTTGGACTCAGAAAAAGCTGCAATATCTGAACACAGTTACAAGAATGAATCTCTCTTCTGTTGCGTTCAGAAGAAGGTCAGTTTTATCAATTTTTCCCTAGATGAACATGTTTTCTAGACCTCTGATCATTCTTGTTAATCTCCCCAGCTCCTTGTTCATGTTTCATATCCTTTACAAAACACATTATTTGAAACTGCAGAGACTGTTCAGCAGAGGCCTTAGAAATGCTTTTCAACACTCAGAACTATATATAAAGTGATGGTCCTCTTACATAATTACCTGACAGGAATAACGTCAGCTCCCTTAGATACTTTTTTTTTTTTTGCATTGGAAATGTCGGTGTTGGGATTGCTTTTGGAAAAAAGCATCATAAGGATTAAAATAACGTTTAATTTACCTAAGCAGACTTTGCAGGATCTCACGCATTTCTCTGTAGTTCCAGATGCTCAATAGACTACAAATCTGACATATCCATTTTGTATGACCGAAGCAACTCTGAAGTATACACAGAAGTAATACAATTGCATTTGTGGGAAAGGTTAGGCTGTGTCAGCTGTCAAAATAACTGGCACATGCAATACATGTGATGTGTTTGAGACAGCTCAAATGATCATAGAATTGTAGAACAGTTTGGGTTGAAAAGGACATTTAAAGGTCATCTAGTCCAACCCCCCGGGACATCTTCCACTAGATCATGTTGTTCAGAGTCCTGTCCAGCCTGACCTTGAATGCTTTTAGGAATGTAGAATGGCATCTCCAACCTCCCTGGGAAACCTGTTCCAGATGCCTCTCCACCCCCATTGTACAAAATTTCTTATATATAGTCCTTTAATCTAGTCTGAATCTACTCTCTTTTAGTGTAAAGCCATTACCCATCGTCATCACAACAGGCCCTACTAAAAAGTCTCTTCCCATCTTTCTTGTAGGCCCCTTTAAGTACTAGAAGGTCTCCCCAGAGCCTTCTCTCCTCTGGGCTGAACAACTCCAACTCTTTCAGCCTTTCCTCATTGGAGAGGTGTTCTAGTGGCTCTCCTCTGGACTCCCAAGAGGTCCATGTCTTTGCTGTGCTGAGGACCCCAGAACTGGATGCAGACCCCTACTCTAGGTGGGGTCTCACCAGAGTGGAGTAGAATGCCAGAATCCCCTCCCTTGATCTCCTGGAGGTGCAGCACAAAGCTACTGAGCAAATAAGGAAAGTCTAAATGTGTTTTTGGTAAAAAAAACCCTTGCCTCTCTGAGTAGCCTACCTTATCAGATGACTCATCATTTTCACAAGGTCTTATCATGCAAAGCCGCGTCTGCTTCACCATCTCACACTGTTGATTTCTGTTGGTAACACGAGTGGAAAAGCCCATTCCACAGCTTTTGGAGCAAGCACTCCATTCTGTTGTCTGTTCAATACAATTGGCGCTTGAATCCGACACATCGATCCCGAGTGTGGCCTCTTGTCTGTAGGCTGGAGACAAAACCCCACAGAACTTTACTACAAGAAAAACTCACATGAAAACCCCGTATCTAACTGAGCTCCATCACATCTGGAAAGCAACATGTGAGACAAAAAAAGGTTCAAACCCTACACTTTTGACAAGATTTAGGAATTTTAAAAGCCGCCGTTTTAGGAATCCTGGATGGCAACTTCCTGCATCTAAAAATAACAGAAAGGTGCATATCAGTGTAATCAGCAAAGCATTTAGATTCAGTTCACTCAAGAATTACTGCTGATTTTCAAAGCAGTTTGGAACTCTAATAACTTCTCATTCCTCAGTCTTTCTAATGGATATACATCACAAATCTGTTCTAAAGCTAAGTCAAATATAAAAATATTTATATTAGGTGTGATTTGAGAGAGGCTGAATGATTTATCTAAACTAAAAAATAGCATGGAAGTAAAGTCCTTTCCTCAGAATCATAAAGTCACCCCATCTTGTCAATTATTGACAGACTACAACCAGGCTGAGGGCGGGGAGAGAGAAGAGGGAAGTAATTTTCAGGAGCTATCATAGCTACTTAAAGCCATAGTCAGTTCTGACCATCTCCTGCCACATTAAGCTGTACTATGCAAATATTGTTAACTGCACAGTTTGGCTCATTAGGAAGAGATAACACAACTGAGCCATCCATCACAGTTCTTGCTGTTAAGTTCCTTTACAATGGCCCTTCTGCCTATTGAGGGTAAAGATCCATTGCTAGAAAGAATGCAGATAATTCATCTGTAGGAATTTTACAGATTAGCCTGTCACAAATCAAAGAAAAGGAAAGGTAGTAGAAAGCTGTCAAACTTTTTGTTTATACCTTAGGTGCCTTACAGCTGACACTTCATAGCCCATTAAAAAGTTATTAGAGGTTTTCTCTTTGGATCCTTCCTCATTTTCTTTTTAAATGAATTAGCCAAGTTTCAGCATAACTAACTGCTTAAGATCACAAAGAGCAGTGACTGGAAGAGAATGCAGTGCCCTCTACTCTCAGTAAAAGTAGCTTATGAAAATTCATGTCGAAACAATAGTCTAATTTAAAGGGGATGGAGACATAATCCAGTAAGAAAACGGGGGAAATATTGTCTAGGGTTTTAAATTACAAGAGCACTTTATGAGTTCTGCATTTTGGAATGGGTTGGGTTTTTTACAGATGCACTCACTGTGCTTATAACCATTGCTTCTCCAAGTACTCTGTAATGTTTTTAATGCCAGCGATAATGATGAGAGCTCTAGCACAGACAGGCTGGAATTTGTTCACATTTCAGCAGCCATGCTGACCACTTGTAAGAGCTGCAGAATTCAGGGGGGAAAAAGTCTCTTGCAGACTAAGCTGTTACAATAGTATTTATGATGTAACATATTACTGCAGAGCAACTAGCAAGACTGAAGCTTTGATTTTTTTTTTTGTTTGTTTGTTTGTTTGTTTTTTGTTTTAATGTGGGAACGTTTGGAGGATTAGCAGCTTGCCCCTGTTTTATTCTGCTCACAGAACTATTGTGCACCAGATAAACAGAAATTTAAGAATTGGGACGTAATTTAAGTTAGCTAACTTTTAAAACTACTATGCACAGTCATCCTCTGAATCTCTTCTTTTATCTGTCGAGCTCTGCCCTTACTCATTACCACTGGTATACCTACTAGTCACTTCAGGTGAGAAAAAAAGATCAGAAAAAAATAGACCTTGCAAACCAATGTGTCTTATATTTGGCAACCCCACGGATATTTCCAGCATGATATCCCCTCCTCCTCACAATGACTGTGATAATTAGTTTTAATTCCCTCACCAGCCATAGCAAAACCTCCCAAAATCACTTCATCATCAGGGTCGCAGATCCACTTCTCACAGCACTCTCCAGGGACTTCGATTTTCCTGGGGAAGGGGCAGTCGGGGCCGGGGAGCAGCAGGTCCAGGTTGCAGCGGGGCAGGCAGCCGATCTGCCCGTCGCGGCAGGTGCACTGGTACTTGCAGCTGGGCTGGAACGTCTCCCCGTTGCGATAAATCATCCCGTCAAAGACGCAGTTGTCTCCCTCCAGCACTAGTGGGAAAAGGGGAGGCATTTGCTGATGCAGTGGGTATTCGGACGCCACCTGGCCCTCGCAGACCCTCGGCGGCCGCACTGGCACCTCCCGCAGCAACAGGGAGAGCCCCGGCCCGCCGTGGGGCGACCGCTTGGCCGGAGGGAAGGCAGGAGAACAGCGGGACAGAGAAACCCGCAGCGGACTCCGCGGCGAGCCCGGCCCCGGCCCCGGCAGGGTCTGCCCGCCGCCCCTCGAGGGACACCCCTCGCCGCCACCTACCCATGCAGATGCCGGCGGTGCCGCCGTCCTCGGGGCCGCGGTCACAGTAGAGGCCGCTGCTCTCGTCGCAGGGCAGCATCGCGGAGCAGCGCTCGCCGCGCTGCCGGGCGCACACCAGGCAGCAGGAGCAGCCGTCCAGCACCGCGGGCACGCCGGGGGCGCAGCGCGGCGGCTCGGCCGGGCAGTGCCCCCCGCACGGCCGGGGACACGCCGGATCCCGCCCGCTCTCCTGCGGGGACACGGCGGCCCCGGGGGCCGCGTCACGGAGCCGCACCGCCCGCCGGCTGCCCCCGGCCGCCGGCCCCGCCGGGCGCCCCGCACTTGCCTCGCACGGCCGGAGGAGGAGGAGGAGCAGCAGCAGCAGCAGGGCGGGCAGGTCCTGCCCGCCGCCTGTCGCCATGGTCCCGCCCGCCGGGCAATCGGCTCTAGCGGCAGAGCCATTGCAGCCGCTTATATAGAGGCAGTCGGGGACCCCCCTCCGCAGCCACCCCCGCACGGCGGGCAGAGGGCCGGAGGCGGGGAGCTGGAGCGGGGGAGCTGGAGCCAGGCCGGGCGCTCTGCTCCCCCCTCTCCTCCCGCCACCTGCCCCGGCGGCACTGAGCCGCTGTCCCTACCCTCCCTGCGGGAACCTTCTGTCCGAGGGCGGTACATGGAGCGGGGACTAGCGTCCCGAGGGCAAAGCTGGCCCCTGCCCGGGGGCCTGGTCGGTCCGGTGCTTGAAGTCGAGGGGCTTCCCCGGAGAGGAATGCCACCCTCAGCCCATCCCTACGGCCCGTCCCCTGCCCCGTCTCCCGCCCTGTCTGCTCGCAGACATCCATCCATCCGTCCGTCCGTCCGTCCGTCCGTCTGTCCGTCCATCCGTCCGTCTATCCGTCTGTCCATCCGTCCATCCGTCCAGCCAGCCAGCCAGCCATTCCTCCTCACAAGGGCAGTGCTGTGGTCACACGCAGAGGGGCAGCACGGTGCTGTCCCACAGCTGTATGTGGCCACAATGAGGCCCCTGTCACAGTCGGTGTGCCTGAGCAGTGCTTGGCATAGAAGATCAGCCACCCCAAAGCCGAACACCTCTCGGGGTTGGTGGCTGGTGGTGACAATCTGCTTCTGACCCTGGTATGAAGTGTTTTGGGCTTGGGGGGCATTATGGAGGCAGGAATGATGCCCGTGAAGATCAGGGGTTCTGGAGGTGATGAGTTCTCCTCAATGAACTCCTCAGTTTTGAGTCATGGGCACTTTGATTACTAGAGGGGTGCAGGTGTATTGGCTGATGGGAAACAGAAGTTGCATAGGGAGCCCTCCCTGCTCCATGCAACATGATGTGACAGACTCCTCGGTGCTCACATGGTGTGTTCAGCTGCAGAGGATGCAGAGCCGACGTGCCAGGCCTCAGGAATGCTTTGTAGAAGTAACTCAAATGCTCTGTGCTGTGTAGTTAAGATTTAGGCCAAGCGTAAGGGAGACTAAATCTGTTAACGGCTTTTACTTGTCAGGAATTGCTTTCTGCCCAAGCAGGCCTTCTTGGGTCTTGCTAGGATACAGATATTCTTTATCTTTGGTTGTCTGAGGCAGATAATATGCACTGGATTGTGTTATGGCTTGTTAAAGAGAAAATATTTGAAAAATAAACAAAACTTGTAAGCAGACTAGTGAAAACAAGATGCCTTTTACGTTTAAGACATGACACAAGTGGTACTCATGAATTTACAAGGCTGCTGTAGCTCTATGCCAAGGCAAAAGTCAGCACAAAACCAGAAATGGCAAGATGCAAGTTTTGTTTTGGACAAAAGTCACTGTTCCTTTCTTGATGCTGAGTAGCAACCACAGGGTTTCTGGAAAAGCCTGGCATTCTGGGGAAAGCAGACTTCACTGGTGCACAAATACATAATCTCTGGACTTGTACTGGCCCTTCCTTTTCTCACTCAGATACAGCAGGACCAGCCAAGGGGAACTTTAGGTTGTTCAAACCTTATTAGCAGCTTGGGAATGTGTTTGAGGTTATTTCAGTCATCTACTGTCTGCCAGATTATTTCTCTTCCCCCCCCCCTTTTTTTTTCTTTGCTTCTTTTCCTCTTGCCTCTGATTAAGGCAATACCTTGCTTGTGAACAGAATAACCAATGCTCTTGGCCAGGTGTGAAGATTTGCTAAAAGGAAGCAAGGCTGTTCCTGTAGTTTTCCCAAAAGCAGGGCTGTCAGCCAGAGGGCACATACAAGACTTGTTTTTGCCCATCCCTCTGTATGTGAATCTGCTGAGGTTTTCAGTGGTGATAATCATTCACAGCCACTGAAAGTTTCCTTACCTTTCAATGAGATTCCTTCACACCATTCTTAAATATCTTCTGGTGTATAAAAAATGTGTCACCACATAAAACTGCAGAAAGAATCAAAGAAATGAAAAAATATTTGCCGACATACTCAATTTGGAAAAAAACCACCATTTGCATTTAATTAATTTATTAAAGCCCTACTTGTTTATAAAATACCAGTTATGAAACCATGATTATGCTACATTTTAGTACAGTAGGATCAAATATCCTTTCCTGGACATTTCAGTTCCTCCAAGCATAATTTGGAGTCCACTGAACCACCAGTTCTAGGATGTTGGTCCATTTTCCTAACTGTGAATATTTTTGTACTTGTTTTACAACTTTTTAGAGAGTGCCATACTGTTCTTATCATATGAAAGTAGCCTTTGTTACTTCTCACAGAATAAAATAATGAACAGGTGGAGGAGTTTCATGCTGGCCCAGCTGGCAATGAATAGCGTTTATTCATGATATAAAATTACTAAGTACAAATAAATATTTTAGTTTCTCTGGGTTTGCTTTTTTTAAAGAACTGTACTGAAGTGAGTTAATATTTGGGTTGCCACCTTGGCTGTAGCTGTTGCAAAGAGTAATCCCTCCTAATATGTAAAGAGATTTCCTGCACCACCAAAATGGCAAAGAAAGCTTTATCTAAAAGACTGGAAACAGAAGTTACAAATAAAACTGACTCAAGTCTTACAGTGTTTCTAATTGCTGATCCCATTTCTATCCAAAGGTGTCAAGGTATGTGTCAAGGTATGACAAACCATTACAAAAATTCAAGTATTCATAGTAATATCTCTGTTCAAAGCCAGCTTCCCATCCAGCCTCCTGTGAAAGTCACTGCTTCACAACAAGCAGCCTATAAAATTATCTTCCACTCTTTTTGTATGGTGATGCAATTTTTAGTGAGTAAAATTCTCATAAATACCACATCTTTCTCTTCCTGATTTTTTGTCCCACCAGTTTTTACTGATACAAATATGATGGTGGATGATTCAGCACTTGCCCTGCACTGTCTTGTAAATTTATGCTCTGTCTGGTAGTCTACTCATAAATGGAAATATTTTTCTTGAAAATATTGCAGTTTTTCATTTTTAGCTAGCCCTTCTCAGCCTAGATGACAGCTGCAAATTCCTAACATCTTTTGGGGCTATTAATATTGAGCATGACCTAAATATGGAACAAACAAAAGTTATATAAACACCTCAATAAATTCATAATATCAGTGATACGATCAGCCTTCCATACATATTGACATATCGCAATAGCAAGCCAACAGACTTGGTAACAGATTGCCCTGGTTTCTCCCTCAACATATGGTAACAGCATAAGAGGTTTTTCAGCCACAAACAAAATTACTGTACCTAAATCTGGAAAAAGATTTCTGAAGTGTTAATTGTGTTGCCTGTGTGGATGACGGGGTACCTAAATAATATTTAGGGTTATCCTGATGATCATCCTCATCTAGCCTGAACCATTCACATCAACCCTCCATGACTACACCATGTTTTGAGGTATGTACCCCAGCCATTGTTGTTCAGAAGAGATCTGTCCAAGTTTCAAGTGAACTCTCCTACATTTTTTTCTGCTTATATAACTAGTTTATAAGCACTGCGGAGTTTTGAAGTTGCTGTTTGACTTCTGAGGTTTTAGCTTTCTGTCTCCTTGACTTCTGTACATCCTACAAAAAGAGCTAATCCAGAAACCAGCATTTAGCTGGGCTTTTGATTTCATCCTCAATATTTAGGGGTTTAATATTGATGAATGGTGTCATTATTCTTGAAAATCATACCTGAACTACAAATATGAGACTCAAATGTTGGTGACATTACTTCTGATGTAAGTGTTAATGAACTGTTTTATTTTGCATTGAGCTATAGAGAAAAGATGAGAAAATTGCTACATATTTTTACATACAATTGAAGAAAACTTTGGAATGAAATATTGCATTTAAAACTGAAACATCATTTAGAAAATGTCAGAGTTAATTATGTGGCGATGGGGAGATATCATTATCTTCGAGTCAGACAATTCTATATACTCAGAAGAAATTCACAAGGTCCAGTTTATTCTCATCTGCATGTTCCACCAAAAAAGTTCAATTAGTTTCTTTCTTCCGGCTTATTTCAGCTATAGAGCTAGCTGGGAATACTTACATATTATCTACATGTTATTACATATGTCTTTGTTATTTTGGGGGATATATGAGGAAATGTAGGTTTATTAAGAATGGCACTATTATTTGCTCATTTATAATTGGCTCAAATGTCAAAATGCTATGGTGTGTGGCAAGACAATTTTCTCTTTTTGGTCAGAAGAGTGCAGGTGAAAGTATTTGCTATGATTTCATTCAGGCCGAGATATTTAGAGGAGAGCAAGAGGCACAAACATGATATCCATCCTGTTAAAGATAGTACAAACAGTAGGGTAGGAATGGCTCATGTCCACACTGCTTAGGGCTGTCATTCTTTAGTACAAATACTCCTTATACACTAATTGGCTTTGGATTTTTATCTCCCTGAAATTCTCTGTACCCTTATGGCCATAAACCATTATAATTTGTGTAAGGGTGAGATGACTGAACAAAGTGCTTGAAGCAGCATAAGGGCTATGCTACAACCCACCAAAAAACCCTTTTATACAAGGAACCTGAGGGCGAGTGTTACATGCCAGCAGCTTTGCTGTGAAGCCTTTGTCCCTGTTCAGGATGACAGTAGGTGTGTATTTTCAGGGACGTGTACTCGCTTTCCATAGTGCCAATTTCTACTACTACTGTGTTGGGAACCAAAGAGATGAGATTTGAGAAAGGTCATTAATATTTGCTCTTAAAAGACATGAGATCGTTATTATTTGCTTATTTAATTTGATTTTAAAGCTTATTAACCCTAAATAGATAATTATGCTTTTTTTCTGAAATTACCAGATTAACATTACTGAGAATCTAAGATGGGTCCATGTTGCTGAATGAGATGATAATGGATAAACAGAATTGTGGAAGTTTTCCTTTCTTTATTCACTGGGTGAAACTCATTTGGTGCAGAGGGCCATTAAGGTCCTTGAGGGGTGTCACCTAATTTCTATTCCAAGAGTTTCAGTAAGAAGACCTAATGATGGTAAAATGGGTGTTCTGTAATAGGAAAATTAGTTCAGCC